AAGAACAAGATCAGATATTCCTAAACATGGACAGAAGAATGAGAACAATCTAGTCTTATAAATTAAATAAAGAGTTTAGTTCAAAACTCCCTGATGGATACCTGGATTGACAAATACCTGAAGAAGGCTGGAGGGTACAATGGCTGAAACATGATAATAGCAGCAAAGATGAGGACAATAGTTTTCAAATATAAACTCCTCATCTTAAAAATTCAGACAGAAAATAGATGAATTAGTTGATGAAGAGAAAGAGTTGAAAGCTTGATTTACAATATGGCAGCCAACCAGATCCTATGTTAGATTTTAAGAAAGAAGCTGACTGTTGCCAATTTATTCCAGGCAAAATATGATTCATATTACCTGAAATGTACCAAACATCAATTTTTTTTTTAAAAGTCAGTTAAACCCATGAGTTTAATTGGTTTCTGACACAAACTCGGCTAATTCTAAAAAAGTAATATTACTGATTTTGGTTTTCGTGGTTGAATAGTTTGCAGTTTTCCACTTTTTCAAGATATCAATAAACTGTCACACTATTCACTTGTAAAACAGAATACATGTGTTAACAGCTGCAGCACAAGAATCAAAGTTCATAATTCAATTACTGAAAATTATAACAAATTCTGATTTGTTCAACTTTGTTGAGATGCATTGTTACACTGAAGGTGCTTTACAACCTCAAAAATCAAAATATATCTACATAAAATAGCACTTCACTAAGATATTATACAACTTGTATATATTTCATCTGAGTAAAATTTAGGCAGGATATTCACTAAGCCTGTAACTGAAATAAAGGTAGAAATTTTTCTAAATGCTTTTCAAGCATAAATTTTGTATGTCTTAGGTTTGAATTATTGAGTGTATTCAAATACATTTATTATATATTTAAGTAAGAGTGTTGTAGTATAAACATATATGGTAATGGTAATATTAGCACTTTCCTCATAAGGAAGAATTTGGCATTCATTGAACGAGCAGCACATGCTACTTTAATTTGAAATTTTAAAATCTTTCTCTTAAAAAGATTTTTCAGGCAAATATATTTCTCAAATGCATTTTATCATGCTTTCCAGTATTGATGGGAGTTTCCTTGCGAGCCTTTTATTTGAAGTAGTGCAGAATATCAACATCTTGATTATATCATTATTTCTCTTTTCAGTTACATGTAATATTTATTTTAGTTTTTAGTTTATCCTTTCAGTTACATGTAATATTTATTTTAGTTTTTAGTTTATCCTTTGAGTTACATGTAATATCTATTTTAGTTTTCACACAGGCTTCACTCACTAAAAGCCATTTATAAACATTAGAAAGCAGTTGTATAGAGCTGACAGTTTAGATAATTCTGAATGGGTTTGGTGCTATGCATGGCATCCATAGAAAGTTTCTATTTGATGAGGCTATTTTAGAACATGATTGTATGTAATCATATTTTCTGTGGAACTTCTACCAACACTTGATAATAGTTATGTATAATTTTGTATAAGATGCTGTCCTCTATGACACTGACACAAACACCCCCCCCCACACACACATATATAGGAAAAATGATATATAAATTTTTATATACCACAACAAAGTCAGAAAAATTTTATGAGGAATTTATCATACCACCTGTAATAACCACAAGGAATACATATAAAAACCTTGAGGAATTTAAATAAAAGATTATATGAACACAAAAGGGATCTTTTACTATACATCACACTCAGTGTATTAGTTGTTTGCCATAATGAATCTGACTATAATTTTGATTGAAAATAAGTCACTTTAATTAAAAGATCATTCGCAGGAAATTTGCATCCTGGTTCTTACAACATTTCACCTTTCTTTGCAAATCTTCTATTATCACAATGTGGGATACATAATAACTGTTATATGCCCCCATTCATATAAATACAGTAGTAAATACTATATGTTGGTCTGTAGTTAGAGATTAATTGTGGAATTCACCTTACTCACTTCTAGCAGTTGATTACTTCTTCTATGTGCTGCTGGCGAATTTTATGTGTGTTGTTCTTGTCCTAAGTATTATCATTCATTACCAACCTTCATTTGATTATTCTATTTGGTAACCTTCCCTAGGTTACAACAATAACAAAAGTGATAAAAATATAAGCAAAAAGTAGCTAAATGAAATTGCCTAGACTACATACACAAATACATATTAAAACAAAAAATTAATTTAAAAGTTTAAAATTAAAATGTCTCCTCTCCTTTGTGTGCATATGTAGCTACATCACCATAAACATCACTTTAGTCTCATGAAATCCTAAAATGTGTCACATAAAATTTTTTTTCCACTTTGTCATAAATTTTCCTAATATATATATATATATATATATATATTCAAATATAAATAAAATATATCTGTAAAAAGACAATATGAATAAAGATAAAACAGTTATGCATTAAATAGCAGGGTAGACCATTCACTCTAGAATGGTAGTCAGTCTAGGAGGTCAATTCTTAATTCAAAGAAGACCATAGGAAAATATATCATTACCTTTCCCAAGAACTTATGGCAATTCACAGATATTAAAGGAAAGACATTTGTGAAAAGCCATGATTGCCTACATCCTAAAGAGACATGAATTAAAAAAAAATATATATTTTTCTAACTGTTCAAAGTTAAAGAATTTGTGGAAAAATTTTAATAAATAAAATAATAGCAAAGACTAGAAAAAAGAAATACCTTTTCCCATGATAAAGGAACCAGAAAGGGCTTTTGGTCATTTGCATAATTTTTTGACCTCACTTCTGGAAATGATAGAAGCTTTCTCTTTCTGTTTTCAATGCAGAACATTCAAACATGTTTTGCAGCTCCACTCATGATGTATGTAATCTGGTTGTTCCAACTCTGTACAAAGCTGAATTGAGCTTAACCATTATAACCATTCTTAACATTACTTATCCTATTTTTGGACCAGAAAAAGGAAATGGACATACACAAGAGACATTAAAAACTTTGTTTCCCTACAGTTTCTACAAAAACTGAATAAATGGTTGGTAGTAGAAAGCAAAGATTTTGTATGTTTCTTCTTAACTGTTTACATGTGAACATTCATACAATTATGATACACCAACACACAATCCTTAAATTCCATAAAGTATTGCATGCAATAGGATGAATGCTTACAAGTAATATAATATGTAACTTTCTACAAAATATTTTCATTGTAAAATCAGATAAACTTAAAAAAATTCTTTCTATTTTTCTGAGATGAGTTATCGTAACTATTTACATCACCATATGCTTCAACCTTCTTTAAGTGATATACACTGGAATTTCAAACTAAACCCTTTATTTAGTCCATAGGGGTAGAGTGTTCCACGTGCCATGTCTTTTTTTGGATATCTCAGTTTTAGTTAATTCCCTTTAGTAACTCAGCTCTCTGAGTTTTTGTTCCATCTGCTGAGGCCATGTATTGAACTCACAATTCTTTGGGTCAAGTCATTTTTGGATTATTAAACCAAATGCTTTTATCCACTGGGCCATTCATCTACGTTTGAGCAAAAAATTAAATTATCATAAATCTTTTACGTTCTTGATAAAAAAAAATAATGTACGTTTGACAATAGAGCATCAAATGGCATTATGAATGCTTTTTATAAATTACAAATATTTTGTGAATGTTCTGATTTGTAGAAACTTTGTTTCTAAATGATTGTTTTTCTTCTTTTTTTTGCAGGATATTTTTATACTGAATTATTACAAGAACAGAAAAAGGTAACAAATGGCAATTTAAGAAATAATCAAATGTTTTCTAATTATTAGAATTTCAGTACATTATTATTGTGAGACCATAACATACCTACAACATGGACTCTTCCAGGACTATATAAAGTATGCGACATAACACTCTAGAGAGAAGAAGAAGAGGAGGAGAGAGAGTATTCTAATACCGTAGTATCAGCCGCGTACAACTACCAATATTGGACACTAGCACATAGTAAGCTCCGCTTACACTATCTTTGTAACCTTTTTGTTTAATATATCTTTCTTACCTCTAATCCGTGTTCCGTGTTTTCCTTCCATGGTCCCAACTTTGGGCCCACATCAATTACTTGTATTCATTAATATTAATCTGATATTTTGCTAGACTATTGTATGGATAGTAGAGATACAGCAGTTCATTTGGTAATCTTTTTCCATTTTCTTAAAAATTATATCTGCAGTCATTATATCTTTAAAATATAACATGCCAACAATTTTTTTCATTATACTTATACTTTGTAAATATGTTTTGAATAAATATTCTTATTGAGACTGAATATCTTTAGTTGCTTATTATTTTTGTCAAATTAAATAAACGTTCAATAATAATTAGGCAGATTTATGAAATTATCTGTGCAAAATGATCAGAACCTTACAGCTGATCTCTCCTCTGACCGAGCTCTAACAGTTCAATGATGTAAAAATTGGTCTATTAGGTCTCAGATTCACTCTAGAACTCAAGTGGGACTCATATATACAACCCATTGCTAAAGATGCAGGAAAAATAGTTGACACTTCTCTCATTCTAGGAAGAGCCTGATTCCTTCTGCTATGCTTTATCTTTATATTATATCTTTCATTTATCTTTATTTATTAATGGCTCCTATATGGGAATTATTTCTATACTATCTTTACTGATCGATTGATTTGTTTATTATGGCTTCTCAACCCTTTGCAGGTTATTTAAAGCCAGAAAATATTTTCAGATTGTAAGAATTTATTTCGTTTTAGATAGTGATACTAATCTTAGTATCTCTTTCATTCATATGACACTCCTTATTTATCATTACCATTTTAACAGTAACTCTCTATATTGAATGGTTCTCAAGCCATGTATTGAGTTTTAGTATTAAAAATGTTAATTTTGTTAAATAGATAGGGGAGAAGAGGTGAATTCATACTTTTCCCCCGTATATTTGCATGGAAATGAATATATGGAACTGAATTCTCTGATTAATAATTCTGAGCCATTATCGATTATATTACCTGCGCATCCAAGCTTACAGCACCTGGTCTTCCCAAACGGTCACCCATCTTGGTACTGACCAGGCTCGACATTGCTTAACTTTGGTGATCATACAGGAACAAGTGTTTCAACATGATGCAGCCATAATTCCCTAGGTCTAATGAGGAAGCCTCCTAGCCTAGCATATGCACTGATTTCCTCAGAAAACTGATTCTCTAGTGTTCTTCTGTCCAAAGGTGTTTACAAACACCTAAAGAAGGCCAAAGGAGTATTGTTGCCAAATCTGAACTGGAGCTATTCAATCTTCACTCTCCAACCCTGATGAAATTCAAAATCATTTGCATAGACTTCTCCACTCTGCAGTCTCTTTCCCACAGAGGCAACATAGCAAACCTATCACAACTATCACTTTTTCCATGACAAATATTCAGATGTGCACTATTCTTTATTTCAACCAGTTCAGACCTTTATTGCTAGGATATGGAGTGCTACTTCCATGGAGTTGAATCAACAACATTTCCTGCATGCTCCAAATATAAGACAATCATTCCCTAGAACTGCCACTTTGTTGGACAGACTCCAGCATAGGTGCTACCCTGAATATTACAGTTTTAACCTCTACATATCAAGGGTTACAGTTGTTTATTCTCTTTATTCTCATAATCTTAACTTCCTACCACCTCCTCTTTCATTCATATGACACTCCTTATTCATCATTACCATTTTAACAGTAACTCTCTATATTGAATGGTTCTCAAGCCATGTATTGAGTTTTAGTATTAAAAATGTTAATTTTGTTAAAATTTTAAATGTTTATTCACAACATCCTCAAAACTCAACAACTGGCAACCTGTGCATAAAAATAAGTTTTGATTTTTATTCTTTGTTTGCTAAAAGTTTCCTCTTAAAAAAATTCTGAAGTTTGATCATTTGTTCAGATTTTGGGAAGTAGATCAAGCCAACAATTTTTCTTCACTCTTTTGAATAGTCAACAAAAGAGTTACAATTCTGGTTTCCAATTCTGAGTGTTACTTTTCCCTAATAAATAGTGAGAAATGATTTTGAAGCTTCACTTATCTATTTCAGAAAGAATATAGATTATATCTTCAGTTGAGACTTACATTGAATTCTATATATTTCTTCACAGTAACATTATCTCTGAACTGCAGGCTGTTTACAATGTAAAAATACTTCACTGTCATAATTACTTCGCAAGAGAAGTACACTTATGTCACTGCAACAAAAACAACAACTGATTTTTCAGACATCTTTACTCAGCATAAACCGGCTGAAGGTCACAATGTTTTTTTATATGTATGGACAGGTTAGATGAAAAATAGGTAACCACAAGCTTCCCTCATTTCACAAGATTGGCTTCATCCAGCATAAAGGCAATGGCATAGTCATTCTGAAAGGATATTTGTATGTCAACTACACTTTCTGTTGCCAAGAATTTTCTAATTACTCTAATAAACAAGAATGTCTTGTATAAAGAAGCATTGAAAATTTTTGACTGCAACTGAAAATCTCTAGCAAAAAGTCTGATGTTTGGTCAACTTTATAGAATAAGCCTTGAACTTTTCAGTAAAGTTGCAAATACTTTGTCTTGAATAGGGACAAAACAATGGGAGTTTAATGAGAATGTTTTTACAGGTGTCTAAACTCTTACATAATTTTCAGTCCTCCTATATGGCAGTGAATGCTGGACAAGTTCCTCACAGATGAAGAAGAGACTTGAAGCAACAGAAATTTACTCTACAAAATGATACTGAGAATATCATGGACTGAACATGTGAACAATGATGAGGTTTTAGAGAAAATGAAAACAAAAAGGACACATATAGTCAAAACCAGAAAGAGATATTTGAAATTTCTAGGGAATATATTGAAGAAAGAGGACTTGGAAAATTTGATACTCACAGGACAGATTAAAGGCAAAAAAGACAGTATAAATCAATGATTAACCTTCCTAGCGAACTTGAGTAAATGGATGGTGGAGCAAGGTTGAGGAAAGATAACAAAGACAAAATTTATTAAGAGTTACAAAGGATAAGAAATTGTGGAGAGCCATGATTTTTAATATCCTGAAAGGACATGGCACATAGAAGTACAATCCTTCTTCAAAATTCTCATCTATTACAAGAAACTTTGTGACAACCAATAGGAAAAAATGTTACAGAATGAGATTTAGTATCACAAAATATCTTTAGATATAACTGATATTTGGACAAATGTTTTCATCATTGCTGTCATCATCACATTTCAATGTTTGGCAATCCAGTAATCTTCAGAGAATTTTGAACTAAGTACTTAATTTATCTATGGGGTATATTGCTTTATTCCACTGTCCATGTCTAGGGATATCTAGTCTTATTATTTAGTGCTGCTCAGTAATTGCTTGCCCCGTTTTCACTAAATCTAAATCTCTACTACACAGGGATTGAACTCATAATTATTATGTCACCAAATTCTTAAGTCAATGCTTTAATCCACTAGGTTGTTGTTCTGTGGGATAATCCTGAACCTAGAACTTGGAGCCATAAACCTAATATTCTTCTATCGTGCCTTCTGCTGTTGTTGTCACACTTGGCTGCATTTACTGTTGTCAAAGCTTTTGTTTAATTGCCCCACTCACATAGTATGGTATTTATTTCTATACTGGGGACCCTCATAGCCTAATATATACACTGACTGCCTCATAAAACTGATTCTCCATGTGGGCAATCATGGCCCTCCACAACTTCTTATCTTTTGTTGTTCTAAGTATCTTTTCACCAATTACCATCCCACTTTGTTCTTGTTCTGTCATCCATTCTCTCAAGCTTATTAAATAGTTTACTTACTGTTACCACCTGCTTTTCTTGCATTAAGTATGTCCTGTGAGTGTTAAATTCTTTAAGCCCTCTTTTCTCATTGTCTCAGAAATTTCACCTGTCTCTTTGATTGTAAGTGTACATGTTACTAATTTCTATTTTCCTTAAAGCTTCCTTGTTGCTCACATGTTCAGTCCATGGTTTCCCCAATATTTATTAACTGAACTACATCTCTTTTGCTTTAAGTCACTTCTTCATCAATGAGGGTGATTGTCCAGCATTCACTGCCACACAAAAGATAGTTCAGCACTCTTTTCTTAGTTTTGGGGGACATTTTCCTGTCACTTAATACTTTGCTTAGTTTTTGGAAGATATATTTAGCCATTTCTTTCTAACTTATCATCTGTTACTACACTACACAGACTGAAATTTCTATATCTGTTTGATCTTTTGACATTTTGTACTATCTTTTTTATTGACAACCATGTATTCTGCCTTTTTACAGTGCTTTCATCTTGTTTTCTTTATTTATGTTAAAAACTTTGCTTATAAGACTTAACAGCATGATGGTCTGCCTCATGTCTGATATACTTTCACTACTGCTAGAGTTTGGTGTTCACTCCCAAATATAAATCATGTTTTTAATACTGATTTTTTTTATTTGACTAATCTAAGTGTAGCAAATATCAATAATACTAAGGATACATCCAAGTATTCCATGTCTTTGAAACTGATAACAATAAATTCAAAAATGTTTTCAGTTCTACTCACTGACAATCCTACAAGAACTTTTTGTATTTCTTCATTTTGAAAAGGATTTGCTGTTTTTTTTTTTTACTATTATCCAAGGTAAATTCTCTAGAGCCATTATAGCCATTTAATACCGGTTAGGCACTTTATGAACAGTTGATGAGAATACATATGTATGCATTGATTATAAAACTTCAGTTTTTGCCTTCTGGATTCCAAATACACATGAAAAAAGGCTGAAATTGTTATGGTTTTCTATTAATTGTTTTCTTTTCAGTTTTGAAATTGGTACAGATGAATATCATTGCACAGCTTCCTGGCTGGCACATGACATATTATAAAACAAAAATTTCTATATCTTTCATGGCTAAAAGCAATTTTTGATATTTGAAATTTCACGAAATATTGGATTTCTGTCTAAATACATTGAATCACATGTTTTGAAGATAAATAAAAGAAAACATTCATTTTAAAAAGAAAATGTTTTCTTTTAATTATTTCTCGAAATAATATGTCGGCAGAATTTGATTCATTTTTTTTTATTCTGTTGCTAAAAGGTTAATCGTGCTTTGAGGTATATTTGTCATCAACTTAAAGACAAAAACAAAACATTCATATGCCTTGAATTGAAGTGGTCTATTTGTCCATCAGACAGTTGTGATAATGAATCTAGCCTGCACTGGCTGGAAGACTAAGTAACAAATCTAGTACCCTTCAGCTTGTTTTCAAGTAATAAGCTATTTTTTTTTACATATTACAATATAGCTTTTGTTTTTCCTATTTTTTATCCTTCAAGAAATCAGAACTAAGAAGGATTATGACTCTTTTCTCTGACAACTGCCTAAGATCCATGTGAAACTTGGCACTAATCAGTGATGCCTACATACTTTGTAGATTGATGGCTTCTTAAAAAAATAATCCTCTTCAGCACTCTACAATTTCTCTCTCTCTCTCTCTATATATATATATATATATATATATATATATATATATATATATATATATATATATATATATATTCTTGAAACTATTATGATGCAAAAGAAACAACTCACATTGAATATCTTCACTACAGGTAATGGCAATTTTTAAAATGTGTATAAAATATTTAATTTGTTTGTCTTCCTGTGTTGTCAAACTAGTCTACAGATAGCATCACTTATATATAAAAATTTGAAATATACCATTCCCTAAAATTAAAACATATAGCTAACAAAATTTGAGATTTTTGGCTATGAAACTGACAACATTTAATTAAAAGCAGGAAAAACATTAATTTTGGATAGTCTATCCATAATTCTACTCCAGAGGTGCAACAACTTATTTGAAAATTGAAAACATACAAATAGACTTTGCTTACTGAATTTAATAAAACTAATATATATATATATATATATATATATAAGTGGATAATTGAAGTCAACATCCAGAGTCAAGAGTCTATTTCATGCTAAACACAATCATCTGGGCATGTGTGTTGTGTTTTTGCTCAACTGTTTATATATACAGTAAAAATACTTATACTTAAAATACTTAAATGATTACATTTAGCATGAAACAGACTGTTG